GTCCACTCTGTGTTATAATTAAAGATCTATATGTTCTTATTGACCAACTCGATCAACTTAACCCGAACCCTTGTCCGGCCAACTCTTTTTTTCCATTTGGGTCCCAACGGGGGACGCGTGTCCGGCACAGGAACGCCGTCAGTGGCAATGTAATGTGGTGGTGGCGGAGCAGGGAATTATGGAAGTGGTGGTGGTGGTGTTGGGCGGTAGCTTTGGAAAATTTTGCCTTTTTTTCCTCTCTCTCTCTCTCTCTCTCTCTCTTTCAGGGTTTCCACTGTTTTCCTTGGCTACAAAAAAGAAGAAGAAGAAAGCTCGATGCTTTGCTGCTTTTTTCAGCTTTTTATTATTTTGCCTTGGTTTGCACATTGGTGATCCTTTGTCTGATTTTTATTGGTGGTATCTATCTATGTCAAATTGGAGGTGGTCAAATATTACGATATTGTCCGTTTGCGTCAAGCCCGCACGAATTTATTTTTTGGGTGTCCTTCTCCAAAGGTATCGTACTAATTGGATTAGGTGGATACTAATATACAAGATTCCCTTTCCTTGTATTATCGATGTGATTCTTGGATTGTCCTATAACAATCTGTTTTGAGAAAAAATCTAATAAATTTTAACTAGGTCTGCATAAGGTGGACATCAATCAATTCGGTCCAGAATCAGATCGAATTTAGATAGGATTGGGCCAAAAATAAGGGGGAAATGAGGACCAAAACAACCCAAAAATATATTTGGTTCATTTGGTTCGATTTACTCCAATCCAAATTCTTTTTTTTTTTCTCGAACCAAAATGTATTCAATAGGATTCAACTCGATTCAAATATCTATTCGATAACCCCTAGCTAAGGTCCAAAGTTGAGACTCAAGAGATGGAAAGGAAGGCCCAAGAAACAGACGGCCCAATGCATGAAGGTCTATGCACCAAGGATTGTTTGTTGGCTAAGGCCCCGTTTAGTATCATTTTGTTGTTGTTGTGGTTGCAGTGGTGTTGTGTAAACAGATGTACAACCACAACAGGAAAAAAACAGAAAACACAAACCTGTTTAGTTGATAAATCTGAAAAATCATGAAAGCTGGCAACAAGAAAAAAAACGTGTTTAGTTACTACTATAAGAACTAAAACCTATAAAAGAGAGATATGTCCTCAATATTAGGCATTGCGAATGATGCGGCGGCGGCGGGGAGGGGAAAGGGAGGCGGTGACGCCTGGTCGAGCAGGGCGTCTGCTGGTGCAGCGGGAGGGTGGTCGCGGCAGGAGGGGAAAGGGTAGAGGGTTTGGGGGGAGCTGCAGGGCGTAGGGTTTGGGAGAAAATGAGAGGGTAGAGGGTTTGGGGGTTAAAAAAAAAAAGATGAAATTTTGGTTGAGGTGGGATTCGAACTGTGGGTTGGTTTAATGAAAACAGACGCTCAACCAGTAGGAAACCCGTGTAAAAAAACTACAAGAATCAGATCCAAAGCAATAAATTGTTGTTTCTCTAATTTGGGCCATGTTGTGCAAATCTGATTCACAACAAAAAATAGAAACCCAACTAAACATGTTTTTTTTTCTTGGTTTCTCCAATATTTAAAAACACAACAGGAAACAAAAACAGACAATAATACTAATTTGGGTCCTCACGCATCACCAATCATATCAAACAATCGTCCCACTATGTCATAATTAACCAAATCTGATCCCCACCAAAAGAATGCAGTCACATCGCATATCGATCAAACAACATAATTTTAAAACAAAACAACACGCGAATGAGTTTATCACAAAGAGTACGCGAACAATAGATATGTCTATTATATTGTCTAATAACTTTCAGACAATTCAAACTTTTGAAAAATCTTGTTTAGTTATCAATTATGACTCGACAAGCCGCAAGTTTTTTTCCTTCTTTTTTACAGTAACAAGTCGCGAGTTGATGGTTATCGATTACGAACCATGGATTGAATTTGGATATGAAGAAAAACCTGATTTTACTATGCATCAAGTGTGTTGTCAATAACAAGGCCACAAATACAACTCTTAACTTTGCTCCCTTTGGTCGGCCCCTTTAAATTTCTACCCACTTTCTGTCCACCAAAACGTCACAACACAAATGTAGCCATTTTGGTTATTGTCTTTTTATCCCTTGATCAAAACTTTGGTCGATTTTCCTCGAGACACAACACAACAACAACCAAGCAAAGAACAAGACGTGCCTCACTCTACTTCCTACATGTCGTTCGTTTTCCAGTTTGTTTGTGAAAGAGTTGGAGTGTTTTACTTGGCCACATGAGCTAATTAGCTGTAGGGGACATCTTCCTTTTTGCTATAAAGGTTTAAAGAAAGATAACCTTCTTTTCCTAGGTTTAGGAATGGTCAGGTGTTATATCAATGGTTTTTTTCAGTGTTGGAATTGAAGTACTGTTGTTAGTCTATAGAGGTGAAACTTCGTTGTTATGGGGAGGATAAAGCGGAGTGGATAGAGCCAATACTTTTTAAGGGAGATTCGACTCGAGAAAAGAATCACATTGGCTGATCGATACTGTTACGTATGTTGTGATAATTTACAACTAATTTTATGAAATAGGGGATAGGGATGTCATGACTTAATGATTAATGATTAAATCATACCTGATTCACATCCTTCTTCTCTTTCTTTTTGTGTTTATTGTTGTGTGTAATCAAGTTATCATGATATTTCTAAAACGTTTTTCGAATGAGAAAAGAGAATCTTCAATGGAAGGAAGAAGCTTCATAGTCATTTCCGCCCAATATTGGTTGGATTAGCTAGGGGTAGATCCCCAAACAGAATGCGCCACATTGTTTCCCTCCAAAAAAAATATGGTACTATTTCATTTTACTAGTTGTTAAATTCACCCGGTAAAAAGATTCGTATTCCTTGGTAGTTGGACTTTTCAATATTATTCGAACTCACATTTAGTAAGAAATTAATCCAAAATCAGAACGTCCATGAATCCTTATTATTATACAATGAGGTTCTCCCAAATAAAAACGTGGCATACCAATCGTGAAACTGTCGGAACCGTTTTCAATCTTACCAAGCCCATACGTAGACAAGAAATTAACTCGAAGTGAAAACAAGCGTCACGAACCCTTATCAAACCACGAGATTTAATTTATTAAGAGCAAATTAAGATAAAGAAATTATATCAGCAATTCATTGAAAATCTCAAAGGAGATTTTTTTGTAAGTGCTTTATTGACATAATATATATCTTGAAATATCTCAAACATTTGACTACATCCACGATGACTTTAACTTGCCCTTTAATTGGTTACATAATTAATGGAAACTCTTATGAGCCCAACTTTCATCACATAGTATACTACTTCTCTTTTTTTCCTTTTCCTCCTTTCTTTGGTAGGACAAAAGAAGTGCTTAGTATACCTCACAATCCACTTCTTAGGGGCAATAGGGTTAGTGTATATCCACTCAATAAATTAAATAATTAACTTATGTTTAAGTACTTTCTTTTTTTCCGTAGGTTAATTATAAAATATGTACTTATATAATTTAAGGTTTTATACAAACATTGCCTTTACCTTTGTGTGTTACATGTGTCGACCTTGCCCCCATTGTCGGTTTGCCTCGTGAATCCCCACCTGGTACCAGAAAAACGAATGTCAACATGTTTGTTCTGAAACTCAACTTAATTGTGTTAGTTAATTACTTGCACCTTTTACACATGGCAGCTTCTCTACATAAGAGTATGCATAAAATACATAAGGCTCTTCTCTAGAGGGTTTTTTTTTTTGGTCTTCTTTTCTTTCCAAAAGGCTCAGATTTCATCCATGGAAAAGGGTATATCACAGTCTTTATGAAAAGTAAAGAACATTAGGCTTAGCCACCTAGTGGGTTAGAAATACTGAACCTGTTTTAGTTGAATTTCATAATCAAGGTTGTAGGATTTCGAAAGTAGGAGGGCATGTTTTCGTTAATCGAAGTTATCTGGTTTGCACAAATCTAGCTAGAAATCATTTGCTAGTAAAACTAAGTTATAATGAGCAATTTGCTTTCTACAACAACCGCTAACGAATAAAATGAAAGTCCTATTTTTTTTTATTTCGCAGTATTCGTGTGCACTAGTAATGATGATATTTTCACACATTATTTTCGAACTTGTGGGCCAACAATCTAATAAAGCCGTAAGATAGTAAACCATTCCGGAGCCTATTTTATGTTAGAACTGTGGTTCAAAGGTTTCGTACGGCTAAAGACGCCTACTAACTTTTACTCCATATGTAAATTTTCTGATTGTAATGTGGTTCAACGGTTTCGTACCGCTAAAGACGCCTACTAACTTTTACTTCATATGTAAGTTTTCTGATCGTAACGTCGGTTCAACAAAATTTTGTGAACACTGAAAAAAAACATTATAAAACAAATAATCAATCCAACAGAGTGAATATTGAGGACAAAGAATTTTATTTCTGAAAAAAAGTCTAGCTTAATTTTTTTATTCTTTGTTCATATTAGATGGGTCACTAATTAGGGCTGCAAATGAGCCAAGCCGCTCGTGAGCAACTAGGCGTTCGAATCGGGAAAAACTCGTTCGACACTCGGCTTGTAAGTTAATAAGCCGGCTCGCGAGCCGACTCGTTAGTAAACAAGCCAAGCTTGAGCTAGACTATGCTCAGCTTGATAAGCTCGTGAGCTAGCTTGACTTGATGGCTTGTTGAGCTAAGCTTCACGAGCTGACTTGTTTAGAGCTTGTAGGAGGATTAATTACTCTTCTGAAAATGAACATTATCTTGTTAATACAGATGTGTATGGAAATTAGCTGTTATTTTTAGTTTCTAGTGTTATTTTTATCATTTAAATTCTTATGTGAACACATTTTTCAACAAGAATGATTTCAGATCGAGCTTATCTTGAGCCAAGTTTATACTCAGCTTGACAAGCTGTGTTAATGAGCATTACCGAGCTCTACCGAGTAGAGCTCGAGCTGAATTATTTTAAATCGAGCCGAGCTCGAGCTAGATTATCAAAATTCGAGTTCGAACCGAGTTCGAACTGAAATTTATAAACGAGCCGAGTTCAAGCTAAGTAAAAACTCGACACATTGCAGCCCTCACACTCTATGAACTTCAACTACAGAAAAGTAGAAGGCCCATTAGAGGTCATCCGCTAAAACTTAAAAAACAGGCCGAAGAGCAATGTTAGGAAGTGGGTATCTTAGTTAGCTCTACAGGCCCAGCCTCTGGCATTGTTATCATTCTGTTGGGCCTGAGAGCAGAATGAGCCCGTAATAGACTCGTAAAATTCCTTGCTGAGTTTTGGCCATGCACGTACGACTACTCCCTCTTATTTTCTTGCCAGTTATGAAGGGTATCTTAGGATGACAATAAAACCCGAACCCACGGGTATCCACCCGACCCAATCCGGTCAAAGTGGGTAAAACCCGTGTTGATGGGTTTTGGGTTTAAACCCGCTATACTATTCACCGGGTTGGGTTTGGGTTTAGGTAAACCCGCCTCATGGGTACCCGCCCACACACATATAATATTATAAATAATATATATTCCTTAAACAACTAATATTCTTTATGTTTGTGGAGACATGTATAATTTGTTCTTTCTAATTGTTTAGAATGAAGTTGATATTATAAAATGGAGAGTGAAGAAACTTAGTTGACGAGGAAGAAGCTTTCAAATAATCTTATTGTTTATAGATGTTTATCTTTAATTCTGAACAATTTGTATTGATCATTTGTGGTTTGCTTGTATGCACTAGATTGGTGTTTTTTGTATGAATAATTTGTATGAGAAATTTATGTTAAACTTTTATTTTGAAAGAAACTTGTTATTGTAAATTTTTTACCACAAAAACCCACGGGTACCCATGAACCCGCGGATACCCAGCGGGCTGGGTTTGAGTTTTTCAAACCCACGGGTTTTACCCCTAGTTTTTTTGGCGGATAAACCCATGGTTTGGGTTTGACAAAACCCACCCTAACCCGACCCATTGCCATCCCTAATCTATCACTCTATGAAACAACTAGACGTGGTTATCGGTCCGGTCCGATTAAACTTAGGAGAATCACGGTTCAATAGTGAAAGATATCTTCAGACCAAGGACCAGACTAGTAGTGCATTTGGTCCGTTTGATCCGTTTTGGTTCGGTTTAAATGTCAATTCGATCCATTTTTTATCAGTGTCTATGAAGTTCATGAGACCAAGAATCAGACAACATTATATTCGATGCAATGAGATCCGGTCCAAGCATCGATTCGATGCTGTATGGATCAACCCATTACCCACCCTAGAAACAACAACATTAGAAGACAAGCTTACGTTAACTACGTAATGCGGTCAAACGTGAGTTGTCAGATTTATTGACTAACTAATTAAGCTAACTTCTTCTTCAAACTTCGGCCACAAAACGGCAATGTTGTAGGTTGGGAAGTCTGGCTGGAAATTAAGAAACTTGCCATGCAAAACATGAACAGAAAACTGTACAAAGTACAACAATCAACATTTCCTTCTCTCCCAAACAACCTTAGCAGAGGCAACCGACTACTGTGTGCTCCTAGAAATGATGCTTACACATCCATGATTGAAATTCTCCAAAAAAATTCGAGTTATTGGAATTAAACCGGTTCTTGACATGGTATTAGAGCTTTTTGTGACTGAAAGGTCTTTTGTTCGAATTCCGATGCCCCTCATATATTTTGCTAACCACATGGTATCCTGACCTATGCAAACTTCAAACCCATATGTTGTGACTTTCGTTTTGGGAGGATGTGTTAATATATATGATTCATAAATTGAACATCTCACAAAAACTCTTAACACTTAGTTCCAAATCTGCTTCAAGTCCTCTTTCTTCTTCTTCTTCTTCTTCTTGAAGGCAAACATGAAAGGAATTTACTTAACATATATAATTCCATGGAAATCATCTTGTTAGATCATCAAAGGTTAATTATAGGAATCCCTGGATTCGTGTCGGATGATTGCCTAAAGTTGGATGCGGAAACGGTGACGATCAATCTCCGGATGATGCCTCTTAGTGCACGATCCAAGAGGTTATGCAGTCTTCCACAACCAAGCCACCTCAGTGCCTCTATGGGAGAGCTCTCATCTTCATGATGGGGAGAAGATGAGATTAGTTGGTCTTGTTGTGTTGGGGACCAGACCTGAAGCTTCTTATATACTAATTCACCATGGTCTCTCATAAAATCCAAAGTGACCAAGTATTGGATTTCCACCCATTGAATTCATATTGGGTTTGAGTTGTCTTGGGCCCCACAATTTTATCACTTACAATTAGCCCATATAATTAATTATGAAATGGAATTTCCTAACAAAACAATTATATCATTCACTTCTGTGATCTATCTAGGGGTGGGCAATGAGTTGGTTCATATAGGACCACACCGAACCGAATCGATGTTTGGACCGTATCACACCAATCGAATATAATATGATTCGGTCCTTGGTCCTATGAATTTCATAAATACAGAAGAAAAATGGACCGAATTTACATTTGGACCGGACCAAACGGACCAAAGCGGACCGAATACACTATTGATTTGGTCCTTGGTACTAAGATATCTTTCACTATTGCACCGTGGTTAGGGGTGGGCATCGTGGACTGTCCGAACCGAATCGGATCAAATCTAGAGAATCGCGGTCCAATAGTGAAAGATAACTTAGGACCAAGGACCGGACCAATAGTGCATTTAGTCTGTTTGGTCTGCTTTAATTTGGTCCGGTCCAAATGTAAATTCTCGGTTAGTTTTTCTTCAGTATTTATAAAATTCATAGGACCAAGAACCGGACCATATTATATTCGATTCGTTGTGATCCGATCCAAACACCGATTCGGTCCAGTGTGGACCAACCCATTTTTCCCAGTGCCCCACCCTTAACCGTGATTCTCCTTAGTTTGGTCCGATCCGGTCCGAAACGATGCCCACCCCTTCTATCTTCCCTCTTCCTTAAAATCCTTACTGACCGACCCTTAATTGAAGGAGCCTCGTTTGGTATACCATAATAATCTATTAACTTACGTTAACTTGGTAATGTCAAACGTTAGTTGTCAAGTTTATTAACTAACTAATTAAGGTAACTTCTCCTTCAAACTTTGGCTCGAAAACGCCATCTGCTGGTTGGAAAGAAACTTGTCATGCACATGGTTGCGACCGGCCGGTAAGAAGAGATTATATATATCCTTAATTAATTAACTATTGGACTAGCAATTAATTGGTTCATGCATGCATAATAATAAAAATAATAATAATAAAATAATAATAATATAATCAAACTCACTAATTAACCTCTGCTGCTAAACTAGATAAGACTTAGAATTTAGACTAAAACAACGTAGGACGACCAACGCTGATCGACTGGTTGATCATTTTCACGATTGCATTTGGATATTATTAGCCTATAATTAGGTGGTCAGTTCAGGGAAATCTAAAGCTATTGATGATCGCAGTATTCATGATTAGCGTATATAAACCTTGATATTTACCAATATTAATAATATTTGGTTAGGGTTGTCTCTGTGAAGGTGATTATTAAACGCCGTTTTCTAACATATATTAATATTGGTAATTTATTATTACTTATTGATTGGGATGAAAACGAGTGAAAGTCGTCGTTAATTACACCATTAACTGTAGGACAATAAAAGAAGTGCACGCCACGCGTAAGTAATTCAATATTGTTGTTGTTGTTATTATTAGCATGAAAAGGATTATTATTAGGGGGAATGAGATATCTAGAATTTTAATTGATGTGAAATAATTTCATCAAAAATTGTTGGGGATGTGAGAAAGCCCAAAAGAGTTGAAGTTCTCAAATGTGAAGTCCAGGCACAAATGCCCAAAGCCCAAAAGAAGAGAAGTCAGTCCAAGGGAGATATCTGACAACCGAGGCACATAGAGACAAAAGCTCTGACAAGAAGCACATAGCGACAAAAGACATGCAACTGGCGGAAATGTACGAAAAGCTGAACGGCTTAGGTCATGCGCCTTGGATATATGATGTTGGTGTCAGATGGTCGAGGCGCATGGCATAAAGAAAGTACAATGCATTAATCGCAATGCTGACGTAGGGCGGATTTGGGGGGCATTGGTCGGGAAGGCTCCTAGTATAAATAGGAGAGTAGGTAAACTTCATTACTCAGATTGGGTTCTCTCACAAAAACCTCCTTCTACTTCTCTCTCTACAATGTGGTGCTAACTTGACCGTCGGAGGTCTAACGGGCGAAGTAAGCCCGCTGTGCGCTTTGTGTGCAGAGATCCATGTGCCTCGAAAGGAGTGAAGGAAAGAAGTGCGTATGGACGGGAGAGCGCAACGTGACATGAACGGTCAGCAATGCGCCTTGTGTGTGTGGAGTTCCATGCGCCTAAGAAGAAAGAAGTGCATACGTACCGGGGAAGTGCAAAGTGGCACGAACGATCAGTTATGCGCCTCGTACGTAGATATCCATGCGCCTTGAAAGAAGGAGGGAAGGAAAGAAGTGTGTACAGATCAAGGAAGCGTAATGTGGCACAAACAATTGGCGCGCCAGATAGGGGAATATAACCAAAAATGTGAGAAAGAGACGCATGTAGACGACCGCCAGAAAGGAGGGGAAGCGTAGGGGGAGGCGCCTCGCTCACCAAGAGGGACTTTATAAGGCTCCTAACGTTTGATTATGAGCAGGAACCTATTGTTTCATGGTGGCTCTCAATCGAAGGCAAGAAAACACGGATATTGATGAGTGAGGAGGTATAAGACGTCGGGAGATAAAAAAAAAAAAATTGGCGAAGCAACTTGAAAGGGTAAGCACGGAGGCGAGGCTCCTGGAAGGTAGAAAGACAAGGAGGTCACAAGTTGCTGATGAGGAAGAGTCTACGACTCTGTTTGTACGGGCGCCTGATTTCAGGAGCATGATGAGCAAACCCCACCGACATCATCATCAATAGGCGCCCAGGCTACATATAAATGATAGGAATAAGGCGTTCGCTAAATTACCAAGAAGGTATTTGGGCCCAATTGGGCAACATATATCAAGCGTCTCCACCATCAACCTAGTAACAGGAGATTGGACGCACGAGGGAGGGAGCAAACGAAGGCAACGACAGTGTGATCTTGAAAATCGGGAGCGTACAAAATTTGTTTCACTATTGGGCTCTTCCGACCAAACAACTCTTTTGCGCCACATTCATTTGCTGATTCTCTAAAATGGAGCGCCCAAACCACCTCAGATGTACATTATGCGGCAAAGCGGGAGATCATGCTATTTTCCGAGAGGGGTGCATATACCACCGAGTGTCGCGTTTTCTTGCTGATTCTCTAAATTTGAAGGCGCTCTGTGGAGGAAGTCTAGCAAATTTGGGCCACCGGGAGTAGTCGAAAGAAGTGAGAAAAAAAAAATGCTCCCTGGTGGTTGAAGGCGATCTAATGCGGAACATGTACTAATTTGAGAGGCGCATATCTTCAAGATACGCTATAAGGAGCCGCCGCAGGGAAGGGCGTACGACAGGCGCTGAGTTGCAGCGCTTAGAGGAGAATACCGAGCGGGGTATTTTACGTTGCACGGACTTGTAATTCTGTAAAAACTCCGAGGAATGGTAGAGCGTCTGGTCACTTCTCTGCACAAAGGAAAAGAAGCGTGTACTAAATATGGGGGTTAGATGATGAGATAGAAGAAGCACACAATGCTTGTGGAAGAAGGGTCAATGCGCCTTCAAAGAGGAGGTTACCGCCAAAGGAAATAAGAGAGGCTCATGGACTAAAAAGGAAATAGAAAGGACGCAGTACGTTGTCTTTCAAGATGATTGGGCGTGTGCTCAGCTTACATCTTCATCTAGCTCGTCGAGAGCATACATCCTGCATGGCCAGTTTGTGCGCCGGAGTTCCAAGCGGAGGAATCAAAATGGGAGGGGAGGATGGAATTAGAAGCAGCGCTGCGAAGCGTAACAATAGATGTTTTGAATCAAAAGAGGAAAGGGGGGAAAACTACGCATTTGATTAAGTGTATTTGAGGTTTGGTTGAAAGGAAGGTGCGCGCTTTGGCAATGGAGAAGAAATGAAAAGAAAAACGCTCAAGCGGCGCTCATATGCTTTGGAAGGGCAAGCATTTGTCCCATGAAGTGTCGCGTTGGTCAAGCTTGACTCCTCGTTTAATGGACCACAAGGAGGGCGCCCACAACATTTTCATCACGCTTGAAAATTCAGGCCCCAACTCGGCTAAGCGGTGGAAACCTTTGGAAAGTAAAAAAGACAGATAGGCGCCCAGGAAGCAAGCAACTGAAATAATTGGAAACAAGCAGCAGCGGGCCGTATGTGGAAGCAAGCAGATGAAATAAATGGAAGCAAGTAGCTTATTGGCGTGGAATACTTGGAGGCGCAGCATCAGAGGAGACAAAGAAAAGAAAAGGAGGAGGCGCCCACCGGAAATGGTAAAGGAAAAAGAGAAGTGACGAGGCATTTGATTGTCTTCAACAAAGGTGGAGTTTTATCGGGGAAAAAAACTGGGAAAGCAGAGAGGTGATGGCGCATGAAAAGGTTCAATGGGGAGCTAGGAGGAAGCGTGCGTGGCGGAAAAGAAACAAGAGAGAGGAGGCGCTTTGTCAAGAATAAACACAAAAACCCATATTGGGGGGGTTAAATGTGTTCCATTGGATTCGAGAAGGTAAAGAGGCGGGTGCTGGAATCATGCACGAGAAAAAGAAAAAGAGCATTCATTCGTGTGCCAATATCAATCCTATAAGCCCTTCTCGTCGGTCTGTATACCCTACTAGCTTGATCTGTTTTGATGGGCGCAAGTGAACCAAGCGCCAGGCCCACAAAGGCCAAGTTGTCGGGAGCGCACTAGAGAGTGGTGATATGATTTATGGAGCAATCCATATTTCTTATTAAGTAAGACAGTTCAGAAGTCCAAAAATGATGTGAAAATACACATCAAACACGCCTACTTGAAGAATCGAACCTGGCACCTGTTGAAGACAAGTCAGACGCATAGATCAGCAGGGCAGCTGACATGATTATGTTACAATGAGCCTCCACTAAATTTTGTTCTCTGAAGAAAGCGTCCAACACTTGAAATTCAGAAAGCAAGATTCGAAGTAAGCGCCCCGACAACAAAACTCAAGCGCCTAAAGCCACTGCACTACGACCCTAAGCCTTTTATTTGGAAACAGGCATCTATCATTTACAACAAGTGTTAGCACGAGCTTTAACACACACAAACCAAACTAAGTATTTTATTTGTTCGTGAAATTCGGTTTTAACTCCACGAGATATTGCTTTGTTTTATTTGGTGCGCCCAAATGAAGTCTTTTGTTCGAATATGTAAAGCGCCCAAATCTAGCGCCCTTGATTGAAAATACTCTCCGCGCCCAAATCTAGCGCCCTCGATTGAAAATACTCTCCGCGCCCAAATCTAGCGCCCGTGATATTTGAAAGATCTCCGAGAGAGATGTAAAGCGCCCTGCAATACATAAAGCGCCCAAAGTATCAAAAATTGTCAAGATAGAATGCTACAGGGCACTCTAAGCCTCAAATTTACGCAATGAATCGAGGCGTATGGCCTAATGAGGGGTGCTTCAAAGGGGGCCACGAGAGCCCAAATGTCCAACTTTTCCATATCATCAATGATTCATGCACCTCGCCTACTTTCATGGGGTCAAGCTCGTGAAATAGTTGTTTGGTCTCACATACTTCCCATATAGAGCTTCTATGCTTCTTCTTGTAGGAATATTGAAGTCTACGTCATGACTCGTCCACTCTCACGGGGATCTGTAGCGATGTCACATGAATGTAGGCATAGTTGAGCGGTCAAGATGCCCAACTTGTACTATTGAGGGCCTCGGTTCGAATCTCATGTGAAGCTTTTCTATCGCTTTCCTTACTGGGATGCATACTGGGCTAAGCGTGGTGGGCATGGAGGAGCCAAAGTGCACCGAGCTCTGAAATGGGGTTTAGTCTGGGCACCCAGAACATCAAAGATTTTGTGGAGATATTTAAAGCGCATAGATCTTTTGTGTTCAACGCCTGTTGTTACCAAGCACTGGCTATAAGGGAAGATAGATGGCAGCAGGTGCGGCCAACCGCGCGGTGCAAAATTTGTGTTCGAGCGCCTTTAAGAGGAATGGATAAAATGAGGGAATTCTATCAAGGGGATGCAAGGATCTGATCGAGGGGCAGGGGATCGGAGAAGCCCAACGGTCACACAAACACACGTGTCCACCGGTCGTGCGCCTCAAATAGAAAAGTAGTCCCAACAAAATGCATGCTACGCGTTTTGGTAAGCAACCATCAAAGGAACAAGAAGCGCATAGTAATTCTCCAAGACAAAGGAAGAATGTGAAGTGAAGATGAGTATGGATCCACGAAGCTGAATAAGGGCGCATAATAAAGAGAAGTACAAGCAGACATCGAAGCATAGTTAGGCGCCCAATTGGATATATTGAGCGTCTAACTGGGGGGCAATTGTTGGGGATGTAGAGAAAGTCCAATGAGAGAAGCCCAAGAATTACAAAGACTAAGTGTACATGTGCAACGGCCTTGCGCCTCGGATAGAGCAAGAAGTCGAAACGAAACACATCCTATGAATCCAATGGCACATCAAGCGAGTGAAAGAAGCAGAAGCCCAAAAGACATATCCAACGACCATGAGTCTAAGAGAGAAGGAATTGGATCAAGGCACGTAAGAGCAAGGGCAAGAAAATTCGGGTAAGATAGGGGAAAAGTCTGACTACTTTAAATCCAAAAGGCTAATGCACATTGTGCGTATAACAACGATAAATTGACAAACCGAGAGTGGAAGGTGCAAAGTCGAACAAGGCGCATGGGGGGCAAGAGATTATAATTAGGCGTCCAAATTCACCCACTTCTTTGAACGCCTAACTGGGGGGCAATTGTTGGGGATGTGAGAAAGCCCAAAAGAGTTGAAGTTCTCAAATGTGAAGTCCAGGCCCAAATTCCCAAAGCCCAAAAGAAGAGAAGTTAGTTCAAGGGAGATATCTGACAACCGAGGCACATAGAGACAAAAGCTCTGACAAGAAGCACATAGCGACAAAAGACATGCAACTGGCGGAAATGTACGAAAAGCTGAACGGCTTAGGTCATGCGCCTTGGATCTATGATGTTGGTGTCAGATGGTCGAGGCGCATGGCATAAAGAAGGTACAATGCATTAATCGCAATGCTGACGTAGGGCGGATTTGGGGGCATTGGTCGGGAAGGCTCCTAGTATAAATAGGAGAGTAGGTAAACTTCATTACTCAGATTGGGTTCTCTCACAAAAACCTCCTTCTACTTCTCTCTCTACAATGTGGTGCTAACTTGACCGTCGGAGGTCTAACGGGCGAAGTAAGCCCGCTGTGCGCTTTGTGTGCAGAGATCCATGTGCCTCGAAAGGAGTGAAGGAAAGAAGTGCGTATGGACGGGAGAGCGCAACGTGACATGAACGGTCAGCAATGCGCCTTGTGTGTGTGGAGTTCCATGCGCCTAAGAAGAAAGAAGTGCATACGTACCGGGGAAGTGCAAAGTGGCACGAACGATCAGTTATGCGCCTCGTACGTAGAGATCCATGCGCCTTGAAAGAAGGAGGGAAGGAAAGAAGTGTGTACAGATCAAGGAAGCGTAATGTGGCACAAACAAAAATAAATTCGGTTCAATAACTTGAGTTATTGAGATCGGTTGGTTTACGATAATACGAATAATTTCGTCATTCATTTTTATAGACTTTTTTCTTTGTACTTTTAGAAAGTAATTTTCTTTCTTTTCCCCACCATCGGCCAATAATGTTGTAGGGTCAATTTGTCTGTCAACGATGCCATATCTCTCTTTATTGAGGTTTTTAATCAATTTGTTCCTTTCGTTCTATTGCCTTTCGTTTGTTTATTATTGTTGGCATTATAATATGGCAATGCACGAATTGCGCGTCTAATTTTATAGACATACATGTACAAACATGTAGGTAATTATATAAAGAATCTCAACCCTTTTCTTAATTATTCCTAATTATAAGTGGCTTGATTGTTACTTATACATCTATACAATAGTGTGTTGTATTTAGGTTATTTTTATCACTTCTTGTTGTACTATTTTGAATATGTACTTATTTAGTAAGTGTACACAAAACCTATAAATAATCAACAGCGCCCGGTGTACCTAAAATTTACACTTTGTCAACCAAAAGATAAATTATGTACTTATGTACTTGGTGTGGATGAGGTGGTTTAAGGAGAGGTGGTTCACTCCAAAGTTATATTACTCAAACACTAGCATAAAATGAATCTCAACAACTTGAATTGTTTTTTTGGATCAGGATCAACTTGTATGAACCCTAATTCTCGAACTCAAGTACTTTGATTTCATTTTTTCGAGATTGATCTTGAAGGTTTAATGAATTGGTTTTGGTAATACTCCATTTTGAGTTGCCAGATATAAAGGTTGATTCTTAGAAAGCATTAATATATATTTGTTTTTTACGCCGAACTATCGTGTATAAGTGCAGCCTTTCGTTAGATGTAGAGTTATTCTCCCTATCTGCTAGGATCCTTGCAAACTTACTGTTTTTTATTCTATAAGTTTCACTTTAATGACATTTTTTTTTTTACAGAAATTGCAATGCTAAAAGACTGTTTTTATTTGAGACTTACACTAATTCGGGTGTTTTCAACCCATTGTTCAAAATACAATAAATAACAAATGGCTCTATCATGAACATCGAAAATATATTCACCAATAAGAAAAGAGTGTCTTAAACAAAAAAAGATGATCCACCACAAAATTAGTTTATCTAAGTAAACATCCCCCATATCCAATTTGTCCATCAAACAGAATGTACTTGGTATTTTTCACAATCTATACATACTACATAGTGACTAGTGTAGATTTCTAAACATGACAATTTCTATGTGATACTTGGTAATGGTTAAATCTATGCTACGAAACAACTTTCCTTGCTCCTAACAAATAATCTTTACTTTTGTTATGGTTAAATCTATACTATGAAGGTTTACATGATCCTTTTGTTATGGAGTGTTTGGCTTTACGAGATGCTCTAGAATGGTGTTTGACTCATGGTTTTGTGTTTGTTAAATTTCATGGGGATTCACAACAACTGATACGTCGGATGGTGGGAGAGGATTTTGCTCATGATCGAAGTGGTGCTGTGCTTGAAGATGCCCGGGTCTTAGCTGCTCAATTCAGTTGGCTTTCCTTCTGTTTCGTTTCTCGTAGACTTAATAGGGCTGCCCATCTTGTGGCACATAAAGCCCTTTCATCGGGAGCTCGACTATTGGTCGACTCCCGCGATTTACTTGACTCCTCTATTTGACTATCTTGTTACCCCTACTTTTGAGAAGAAAAAAAAAACAAATAACAATTGTATTGAACATTTAATAAATTCATTAATTAAAATGGATGCCCAAAAATAATTAATATTCCCCGACCAACCCAACCCTCCCTTTATATATAAACTCCAAAAAAACAATCCAACAAGCAACCCAAAATTTTTTCTTTTCCCCCATCCTTCTCTTTCCCACTACTCCCATATTAATATCCCCACATAATCAAAAACCACATATAGGTAACAAATAGAATACACTAAAAAAACAAAAGACAAAGAGAGAGAAGGCCCAAAACTATAGCCAATATGAACAAATATAAAGCTCATGATGAAGAAGGAGGAGGAGAAGAAGAAGAAGAAGAAGAGAAAGAGAAACTCCTACTACTACAACAACAACAATCCAAGCCACCAAAACCATCTCCTCATCACAAGAAGAAAACAACAAGGCTACTAAATCTCTCTTCCTTCTTCTCCTCCTCCCTCTTCCCTTCTTCCTCCTCTCCAAAACCCAAGATGGACTCTTCTTCTCCCTTCTACGACGCCGTTTTCCCGACCACCACCAACGCCGTCGCTAAATCCCGCCGCACACCTTCCTTCTCCTCATCCTCTTCCTCCTCCTCCTCCACCACCTTTAACGACGACTCCCCTTCTTTCCCCACCACCCCTCTCCACCACTCCTCCGGCCGGATCCCCTTCTCATGGGAAAAAATCCCCGGCATCCCCAAGAAACCCGACTCCCCGTCGCTAAAGGTCAGAATTAGCGACGATTCGGTACCCAATCCGTCGCAAAAGGTCCTACCGCTGCCACCGCCGATCACCCCGACGGCCGCCTCCCGGAGGTTGGATTTCGATTCGCCGAGCAGGATCAGGCGGGCCTCCTCGTCTTCGTCTCGATTCGTCGTGGCGAGCGATCCGTTCTTCGCGGCGTTGGTGGAGTGCTCCAAAGGCGACGGGGGATTTAGCGACGACCAGGAGTTTCTGAGTGGTGGTGGTGGTGGGGAAAAGGTGGGGAGGAGCATTAGCGACCGGTTCGGTTTCGTCGGGATGTACGCTTCGTGTAAGCGGACGTGCGCCGTGTCGGAGTCCATTGTCTACCTCCCGAGGTCGTCGCCGGCGAGGGCGTCGTACGATCTGCTCAGTCGCCGGCGGTGAGTTGGGATATATATATAGTAGTACTCTCTACTCTGTAGTCTGTATGTCCCCGTTGGTCCGACGTCGTTTCTCTCGTTGTCGTGGTGTAAAAGATTTGGCAACGACTTTTTTTTTATCTTTTTATATTTGTGAGTTTTTTTTTTTGTTTTAATTTGGTGTAATGTTGTCATGTGGGAGAGGTGGAAGGGACATGAAGCATATGAGAAACCTGTCACTCCCCACATTTTCTAAGAAAAGGACTCAAAGGCTAATATAATTAATGTTAATATATAATTGTGTTTTAATTAGATGTATAAATTAGTACTAATTTCCAAAATAGACTTTTCATTATTGTATAATAATGCTGTGATGATGAGATATCTGTATGTTGAATGGAGTGAAGTGATGGGTACTGATCATGTGTTTTTTTTAAGCTTCTACATGTCAAAAAATTTGCTAGCTACTTGCATTTTCTTCCTTTCTGTAAAAGTCTAGCATTGGCAAAAAAATGCTCTTATGACTTGAGGAATCCATTCCACAAGCATAACTTGAGCGATTGTTGTCGTTAGATGAATTCTGAAACAACGTATTCGACACAGTCTTGTCGCTAAGGATCGAATATGGGTTATTGGGAGGCTGACATTAGGACTTGAGCGTCCAAACAAGCAGGGCTAAGACACTCCTCCGATCCCTACCGAAAACATTACTATGACTCTCTGGATCCACCACTGATTGGAATTGTAAGAAATAATTATACAAGTCTAAGATTTGGCTTAATGGGATATGCTATAAAAATATTTATGGCTCACTAAGAATAAACTTATAATCACGATTAAAATGTATAGAATTACATGCTAATTCTCGAAATAAATAAACCGAAAAGATAATTTTGTAATTTTTCCATAACTTGAGTGGTTCATAATAACGAGTTGGAGTCCTATTGAGATTGAGATAGAATATTGAGATTCCACTTTTCATTTGTTGAGTAGGTTTGGTAATTAATCACCATTTATAACTTGGGTTGTCTCGAATTCTAATGTAAATTTTTTTCAAATATTTAATATATTTTTATAACTAATAACTATTAATAAATCATAATTTAACATTCCAACTTTCAGTCTCCTCGTCATGATGCTAAGCTAAGCTCACCCTGTAGCTAGACAATTGGCTAACTACATTAAATCAAATAATCAATACAGTAGTCATACGTTGGCATGCCTAATCATCATGAAAACAAATTTATTTTATAGTAATTAAGTACTACTGTGAGTTGGGATTAATGATAAGAGTTGTATAACATTCAATTATTCCTAGTTAGTCTTTGCTTCAAAACTCTCAGTAATTATGATCAACCGATTCTCGACACAATGACATAAGAGCATTTGACTCTATTTAAACGATTCGACGTGGAGTCGGAGAATTCGGATATTAGTGAACCAAAACACAAAGGAAAATGAGGATCAAACTCTTATTGAAAAGGACGTTTAGTTCATGTGGATTAATTTGTCCCGGCCCTTTCAAATTCAATGTCAACCCATTTTTCCTCCGTATTTAAGGTAAATCATGGCGTAGAAACCAAATCATATTACATTGAATCTAACTCGATTCAATCCGTAGATCGATAGAGTACAGTTCTAGTATGGACAAGGAATTGACTTACAACTTGTCTTCAACCTATATGTTACCTGTTCGAATCCCCTAATTAGCACCGTAACAATCAAAACAAACTTAAGTCACTCTTAAAACTAAAAAATATTAATTTCCATGGACAAATTCATTGCCACACATATGTAAGATAATGATATAAAATTAATAATCGATCGTACACCAAATATTTGAATTATTGTGACGGACTGTTTTCTCGACGAGGTAACAGATTATGAAACATATGTGAGATCGATGAAGAGTCGAGGAACAGAAACAAAGACAAGTAACCGATGTTTTGAGCTGTATTACACGTGATAATTAGTGGGGATAATGTGCTGCTTAATACAATGGGAATCTCAAAGAGTGTTTTTCTGACTGACAGTGAGTGAAAGCTTACGTTAACCAACTTTTCCCATGTGACTTCGTTTTTTTTTTTTTTTTTGAAGATATATAGATTGTTCACGGTGTATGGATTTAACATATTTTTATTATAATTTTGGATATGATCGATAATTTTTTTTTTGGGTTGTATTATGATTAGATGGTGTAAAAAAAAAAGTGTTATATATATACATTTGTCATTTCTGTAATCTTTTATCTTTTCAAAGTGTAGTGAAACTGATATATCCTTTCCGTGGATTATCTAACACATATCGTCGTGTTGGTGAAACACGAAAAATCCATGTGTTTGTTTCCTTTCTTGTATTGTCGATTTCTAGTTTCGTTCCAAACATGTATTGTGTATATAGGCGGCGGTCTGACTAGAAAAACCGTCTACCAGCAGAGTCTAAACTAATAGACAATTTTAATGGTATGAAATTATAATTGAACTATGTGGTTAATCACGATTTCAACATACAATGATCTATCACTAACTTTTTCGATACAACCCCACAATACGATTTGAAAACCGAATAAACTGGCAAGAGAAGCAAAAGAGAGATACTATACAAAAGTGGTATATCCACGGGAAACAAAATGATTAAAGACAAATTATTGACACGTAATTAGCTAGTTGCCTAGCTAGTACTGATCTCTTTTTCTTTTAATTTCTTTATATATAATACGTACACTAGCTAGCTAGCTAGCTCGTGATATATGCAAACTGATATTTGTTTATGTGGTTAAGTATATGGATTAGTATCTCCATTTGCCTATAATCTCTTAGTTATGACAATTAATTAATCGGACTCACAAACTAATCACAGGTCTAGCTAGCTTTGGCATTTGTCAGCGATATAATTCACGGGCACGTGATTCAGAAGAAGACATTTTACGTGGTATTCTCGTTATTGATTGAACGAGAATAATCCACGGTGAGCTCGGAAGAGCTCACGGCTGACGTTTTATCGAACGACTACATTTTGACGGTTTGCTTATAACAAAACCATAGCTAAGCTTCTATAGAGAACGACTTAGGGTTAACACCCTAATGACAACCAAGTTCCCTCTTTTACCCGTACAAGGAAACAAGGGACTTGTAGGACAAGGAGTTAATTACATTTTGACTAAGTAATTAATATCCTCAACAGTCACTTAGTTATAAATCAAAATCATCGAGCTTTGACTCCTAACTCAATCCAGTCGACGAAAATAGCCCATATTTGTAATAATAAGTCTGCTCAATTACGTACCAAATCTAGGTAATCGAAGACCACATTCTCGTTACGAATCAATTTCCGCATGGTTTGTATGTGTATTAACTCAAATGAGAAATTCTTATTATGCATAATTGCATTTCAAGAGCCATGAGTGATTAACTCAAGGTATAACATAATACTATATTTACCACCCAATTAATTTTTAGTAGAGTGTTGCTCTTGACTTGGAGATTGTAGATCCTGCAATACAAGAAGAAGAAGATTGTTGAGCAACCTTTTAGTCTTCACAACGGCCCCAATTTTTTTTCCCCCATGATGAATCTAATGTATGGTATGGGCTATGGCTCACCCAACAATTGATGTTTGCACATTTAAAATTTTATGTCATCTAGAAGAAAATTCTTAATGGTGATTGATGAAATTGCAATGATTGTGGTAGAAATTTATAACTTTATAATTGATCGTATAATCTAATTAACTCGGTAATCCGGTTGTAGTCTGATTAATTTTTTTTATACAAAGATAATTAACGGCTGGTATACATTTGTTTATATTGTTAAGTGCTATTTAGAGGATTCGAATACTATTTAGTAATATTCTGGCTAACTCAGATTGAGTGCAAGTAGGGGTGGTTATACGGTCCGGTCCGGTTAAATTGGACCAAATTGATCCGGTCTCAGTCTGGTCTTTTCGGGAATATAAGGACCAAATATTGGATTGGATACAGTTCGGTCTTGATCCGGTCCAGGCTTGACCCGGTCCGGTCCCAATTTGATCTTGATTTTAGATTGAACTTGTGGGGATTTGAGTGTTGGCGTCGCTTATCCGGTCTTTATTCGGTTTTTTTTACCTCAAATATAAGCCCGAATATGATATTGGATTTTTTACTATCTGGTCCCGGTCCGGGTTATATGGTCCAGTTTCGGGTAAAACCAAACAGTCGGAACAAATAGTTAGCCCTAAGTGCAAAAGTAGGGCTTATTGCTTATGGGGGCACATAAATTTACTTAGTGGGACAATATAGATAAGAAATGTGCCCTTAATTTTTTTTTAGTTTTGTAAAATATTTGGGAACAGGGTGATATGATCTTGAATTGATTCTCGATCCCCAAAATATGAAATCTGGCACCAACCCAATTTAATTCTCAAACCCACATTGTCAACTCACTCAGACTCAGTTCTTGATTCCCATACCACAAAATCCCATTGTTGTTATTAAAAAAAAAAAAAATTACCGACATGAATAAACACGTACTCATAGCATACTCACCTTCTGAAATAATCGAATATTACATGTGTATACGTTTGGAATGTTTAAGATGAATAATTGATTAATTCATCCGAATAAGGTGAGATAGAGCAAACACAATTATAATTTCAATTATCATTCTTACTAATTGAGACCCTAAAATTTAATCTTTTTGGATTTGTGCCCTTCTCTTTACCGGTGAGAAAAGAGGAAAATATAATAACCAAAGATCGATTATGGATTATGGAAATGACAAATAAGAATGACGATGAATAGCAATTACGAGACTAATTACGGTAGGCGAAAACAATCATACACGGAATTTGATAGCTGGTTACTACACCAATGAATAGTTTGAACGAAACTCATTGGATGTGTCTATCCAACTTATACACAAGTGAGAAATCTGTCTTCAGAAGAACTTTCACAAACTGTTGTTTCTAAAGCTAAGTGTTAAACCATTCAAAATATTTTTTTAATCAATCGAGACTACCAATTAGTGGACACTACTCAGAGTGTGCAAATGGATACACAATGGCTCAAGAGAGTGCTGAAATTGAAAACCATATATATTGAATAAAAGTCAACAAGTTAGGACACCTAACCTCATATTTATTTTTAAATCCCTCTTAAAAAAAAAAAATCTTTTTGTCTCCAACTTCGAATCCCACCAACCAATCAGGGTCTAGATCTTTTGACTCACATAATTAAGATAGGAAGTACTCATCACTTCGATAGAAGACTTGATAGATGATCCATACTTCATCATCAATCTCTTGTTAGTTGTCCGCAATCGAACAACATGTAATCGCATTTTAACCGATTACTAACGCGGTTACCTGCGATTAACCGCACTAATCGCGATTAATTGTACTAACCACACTAACCTCTGTCACAACCTTAGACCAAAATGTCTCCAAACCGTAAGTATGGTTAGCAATATGGTTAACCGTACTTTGCGGTTAGTGGTTAACCGTACTTTGTGGTTAGTGGTTAACCGCAAACCACTTGCGGTGCGGTCGCGGTTGGTGTATATTGCTCCATTTCGGTTGCGAACCACACCAATTCCCAGCCCTAGATATGCATGCATGGAGTTGACCCTCTAGACATGAAGAGAATGGAAGTAATAATTCACCGACAAACATTGAAAGAGAAGCAAACTGAGTAAAAAAAAAAGGATTGGGCATGGAGGGCAATAGTAGTAATAATAATGGCAGGCCATATATCTCACGCAATTGATCATTTAATGACTAGGGATGGCAATGGGTCGGTCGGGGATGGATAGTGCATATCCGTTACCCTATTCAAAGTAGTTCGGGTTTTACCCATACCCATACCCACATATGAAACGGGTAGAAAATTAAAACCACGTACATACCCGTTCGGGTTTCGGGTATCCACGGTTATCCATGGGTAATGATTTCTCTTCATAACTCCAACTAATATATTAACATGTATTCTCACGTTACGCAAGAGGAAAAGTATGACAATAATTCACTAGAATGAAGAAAATTATTAAAACAACACAATTTCATGAAAATATTATATTTATATGCTAAATATAAAATATGTTAGAGAAAAATAATGACTATTTCTAGAAAAAATACATATGTATGTGTATAATCGGGCGGGTTCGGGTTGGATACTGAGAAACCCATGCCCACTCATTACCCGCAATATTCGGGTTCGGGTTTTACCCGTACCCACTAAATGTCCTTCGGGTTCGGGTTTTACCCTACCCGATTAGGCCGGATTCGGGCGAATATCCACGGTTACGGATATTTTTGCCATCCCTATTAATGACCACTGTGGAAGCTTAGCCGTCCCGCAACCAAAATCTCGTTGCAAAAAGCTCCAAAATCTTTGGTGCACCGACGGATCCATATTCATGCACGAAATCCAAACATAATGTAAATGAATATAGTTTGATGTATTTATATTATTTGGGTTGAAATGATGATGATTGTAATTAAAGTGTAATTTAGTATGTTTAGTCGAGTAGGTCGATTAAGATTTCAAATCAGAGTCGAGATATTGCATTCAAGTATTTCGTCTTGATTATGTGAATAAATAATTAACCAAACTATCGTCAAGTTATCCCAATTTGACAATTTCCCTCCCCAACCCCTAATTCTATTATGTTTTTTTTTCTCGCAAAACCCAAAATATCTTTTATTCATTTTCCGATTCCAATCAACGCCCTACCCTTCATCCATTCATCACATGGACATAATCCTCCTTTCTAATTCTTCCCTCGATATATCAACTTTCTACCGAAATCATGGATATGATATAAGACCTCCCAATCAAATATTAAACACGAACGAGACCGCTCCCCATCCTCATAACACTCTAATACCACGTCGAGAACAATCCATACCACTAGCAAACTTACATTAAAACAACGAAGAAACAGAGACCAAAACACCATCTAATCCTACCAATCAAACCCTACAAAAAAGAAGACAAGTGAAGATGGAAAACTAACAGTTTAATCGTTCTGTTCCACCG